AGTAACTTGATATGATTATGAGCAATAGTTTGTGCTCGAAACGTGGTCATCAGTTAATATTACTGTACAACACTGTGTGATTTATCAAAATAAAATCTTATCCATTATGTAGAGGGATGAATTGAAGGTCAGATCAATAAATTCGTTCAATGCATTAGTCAGTAAGGCTGTAAGTCAGAAAGCGCCACAGATTTCTCTTTATTTTGTTGTGGGCTTTAATTTAAACTCAAATAGATATAAGACTATGATTGCTAGTGCGATTTGAAAATGCCTTTAAATGAATTTCTATTCAAATTTGACCAACACTGTGGTAAAACAAATTCAAGAAAAAAATTGAAGAGTTACAATTATTTCTATAGATCTTTGCAATGTCATTAAAAACTAATGAATTAGTTGTCAAAAAAATGTTAAACCTTGTTGATATTACTATTATTATCATTTCTAATGGTTTTAATTTCAATATTTAATGAGGCCTAATGAATATATGTGTAGAATATATCAACTCACCTTTTCAATTTCCATGTAAATTAACTATTCATTCATGTAGTAAAACTAGTTCCATATTATTTTGTTTATTTGATACATGTCGTACACACACACACACAGTGAATCAATGTTATTATTTACTAGGATAACGTTTCGAACACAATCGTATCATCATCACCATCAACTACTGGCATACAACTTCAAAACTCAATTTTTGTACTTCTTCTCTTTCCTGTAAATTTGTCCAGAATAGGTTGTTGAACCATTCTTGTTGGAAATATCCTCAGTTGATTCGATAAATAAAGCTTCAGTTATCAGTATTTCCCTCCAGGTCTCATCCTATTGAATAGTTGTGTGTGTGACTGCATGTAGTGGTATAGCTAAGCTATTTTTCTTTGTAGATTTCTTATCTTACTGTGGTTGGGGCAGCTCAGATTTCTCTAACAGTCTGAGCTGCGTTAGTTTAGCTGACCGCGGACTGATAATTTTGCCTTTATATCTGGCCTCACTATTAGATAAACTAAAGTGTTTTGTCTGGTAAACTTCGTAGGGCTCTTCAGCTGACATAATTTGTTTTTTACTAAATGAGCTTGTTGCTTCGTCCATCATTTTATTATTCCTGTCTTATTAAAATATACCTACATAAGGGCTCAGTAGTTTTTTTGTCTATGGAAGCACTATTGATGTTTGAAATTTCCTCATCTTGGTGTTGTTTTCTTTCTGTGTGTGATAGATATATCCAGTAAACAAATTAATATGGAATTCTGTACTACCGCGGTGTTTAAATTTTACACTCATCTAATCAGAAAAAAATCATGTTGTTCATCTGTTTTTTAAAACTGAGGTAAATAAGCGCCACATTTATGCTTCAAAATTATTAGTACTGTGAAGTTGATGAATAGAAAAAGAAGATGTGTTCTCGAAGTCTACTTTTTTTCCCAATTATCATAAAAATTAACTTAAAGTGTGTGTGTGTGTCAGGTATCTTCAGTCCGAGTTTATTTATAACTTTATTAGACATTTTCAAGTGTTAGTTCGTAGGGATTTGATTGGTTTCAGGGTGGTATGAGTTAAAGAATCACTGAAAACCACGGAGCATTACTGAACAGTTATTTCGTCCTAGTTTGAGACTGTTCAGCGATACCTAACCTTGACCTTGAAGCTGCGACGCAAGCTAGTTGACCATTCAGACACTGGAAGAGAATTCAACGGTCCATGAATTCTAGCTTCTGTTAATTCATGATTTTCAGCACCCTCGCCAACCAGTGTCATCGGCGGGAATTCGCTCTCAATACTGGACCTAACCTGCTGGTCACGACTTTTCACTAGAACTCTAGGAGACTTCGTCATGTTGCCAGTTACTAGTAAGAATTATTGTCACTGAATAACAGTACTTCACTTCTGTAATGTAAATAGGTTGAATTAAATGACTGAAATATTAGGGGCATCTGATCATGAAATAAATAGTCCAGTGTCATTCAGAATTGAACAACTAATAATAAAACAAAAACTGGTGCTCATTATATCTCTCTAACCTAAGCTAATAATGTGACCAAGTTTAACTATCATAACTAAAAATCTCAGTGACCTAGAACAACCAATCATAATTCAGATGCCTAAAAGTAGTATAACCGTTAAAAAGTGTGTTAAAAACGCTTCAGACATGATATTAGGCTGGATAATGGTCTCTAATATGCTATTAAAATGTCTCCCAGTTTCTCCCAGAATAATCCACAAAGAAACTGTACCAAACTCAAAACATGTATTCATCGATGTGGCTGCAAATCATGGTACTTTGGGATTCATTGACATTCTTGATTCTGTTTTTCACCAGGACCCGAAATCCTTTAGTAGAATTAGTGTGCGTGCCTATGGTTGGACCCACAAGGTCGGAGCAACGGTTGACACGTTGGTGAATATAACCCAAAGATGACAACTGTTAATTATCCCCCTCCATTCATCTGTATGTATAGTTTTTTATGGCATTGCCAAGCGCTGAATGATTGGAATTAACACTACAGCACTTCTATCGGGTACTGTTTCCCGGAAACCTTTGAGAAGTGAAGTGTCGTATATTCTAAGCACCCATATTTGATTAGCCCTTCTTTCCCCCCTATTGTACTTCTTCTCTATGAGGACAGTTTCATCAATGTGAACAACTAATCCTACTCCTCCGACACAGCCAGTAATCCTCTCCAATTTCCATGATGCTGTCTTTACAATGCTGATACCATTTCACTTTAGAGACTAGGCTATTTTCCGTCTCAGCTGCTGCTGCTGACTTTACAGGCCTTTGCAAAATCCAACAGTACATAAGCCGTAGGATATCCGACAAAGACAACTTAGACTTGGAGAAAAAATTACCTAAGGAATAAGTAAAATACTGCATCTACCCTCAAGAACCAATTTTCTCTTATGATGTGAATTCCATCTATAGCAGCATTTATCTCTAACAAGGCTGTGCTACTTTATTGTCATAGTCTCTTTCCACACATACACACACGTCTTCGTCATTCTAATCAATCCCTTACTGACATAGTAGTTGAGTACTAGATCTTCGTGGAACTCACTGAACAAATCCATAAGTGCAGGTATGATTTCTGTTTGGAATGACCTACCGAAGCATGCTATCTACCTGACTGGTCCTTCAAAGTCAACTCTGGCAGACTTTGACTACGACTGTGATACTTGGAATTCGCAAATAATGTTACTAGCACATGATCTAGGATCAATACATAGTACTTCTAACTATTGCAGGTCATCTATAAGCTAACTAAGAAATGTCTTAAATTACAAGGTTAAGTGCTGCCTAAAATAAGAATAAAGGGTAAACAGAATAAAGAATTGCGGCATTACCATTAATGTGAAGGTAAAGCATGAATAAATCTGCACCCCTGAAATTAGTTTTGCACCATTCCTCCCACAGTTTATATATATATAAGTTTTCACATATAATTCAGTTAGATAATTTAAACTCATTTTTCAAAGATTTCTTGTACATCTTGATCTGGTTACACAAAAATTTTCCTCCATCCAGTCTTACCTCGACTAACATAACCTAGCTGGTTAAAATGAAGAGAGGTAGGCTTGATTTGGCAATTATAAATGTTTTTCGAGTTTGACCACGGATTGATATCAGTTAGAAAACCATTGTAAACCAGTAGTAGAGTATTGGACAGCTGTTTCATCCTACTTTGGAAATCATTGGCAGTACGCACCCACAGAGGGGGTTTCGAAGCCAGGACCTTCCGGTTACAAGACAAGCTCGCATACCATTCAGACACTAGGGTCAGATTCAACGACCCATGAATTCTAGCTCCTGCCAACTCGTGATTTAAGTGCAACCACCAACCAATGTCATCGGCGAGAAATCCATCCTCATTTCCGACTGCATGGACCTCACTGGTGACGACTTCTCAATAGAATGGTACACGAGGTTACTTTGTAACTGGAGAGTCCTTCGAAATTCACTCTGTGGATGCGTGCTGCCGATAGTTCCCAAACTAAGGTGAAACAGCTGTGTACAGGCGAGTTAACTGACAAAACATTTTCCGTCCATAGTTTTAAACATAATTGATTAGAATGCTGAGAGTCTTAAGTAGGAAATATATATGGTCTTGCATATACTAAAACGCGTCTGAACTGGAATTCAGTTCAAGTACTAAATTTTGATATGTTCATAGGGTGCCAGAAATTATGACTTCAAATCCCTCGTCAAACGCTAGTTTGTTGAAAAACTATTTGGTTCGGTTAGTACTTGGAGCCTGTACGGCAAAAACAAACTATCAGTACAAACTTTTAACTACAGAGAAATATCTTTTTCACATTTATTTACCATTTGAGATTTATTTTATTTAATGAGGGTAAATATTCACCCAGAAATGTACCAGTAACAAAAGTAGAAGATTCGTTTAGAATTATAATCCTTTAGGAAACCTTACAAAAATAAAAAGCTGTTTGGTCTAACAGGTTTTTCACAAGTCAGCCGCAAAAACAATCAATAATAAAAAGTATAGAAAACAACACCATAGTCCTTCAAAGTAGGTGCATAATTTAATTGTTGAAATGTTTTAAGATTAAAAGCCCGGTTATTTTTTGTGTAATACTTTAATACAGAATTCAAAAATAATTGTGAAATCTGCCAGATTACGCTCAACTGTTTACTGCGACTCACTGAGAGTCACTGTTAAAAAAAATTCTCAGCATTCTGACAAGTCAAACAAAAGAGCTACACCCATTTGATTGTAATTATCATCGTTGTACAGTGCTACAGGAATTTTGTCAGAAATTCCATTGATCACTCCATAGAATGCGGTATCAACTAAGTTATAGTATTTATTTTTATATTAGACGTTTACACTTGCAAATTAATTACTAACTCGGTCCCACTGAAAAATTGTCTAAAAGAATAGTTTTAAACACGCTTAAATAAACGCTATCAACCAAATTATTTCATGACCTGTATAGAAACTTTCTTGCATAGAATAGCATTTAAAATGAGCATTTTCACTTACATTATCACAGCGATATTTTCACGACCACATCTAGACTCATGGATGAATCTTGCTCCAGCCATTAAATTAACTTTCAGCGACTCTTCATTTGACTTATTTAGCTCAATGTGTTTCCAGTATGGACTCTTAATCGAAATAATTTCAAAAAAATAAACATACAGCTTTTGCTGGTTTTCTTGTTGAAGATAGTGTACATGTTATCTTAGCTTTTTTAAGGTTAGAATCCGATGTGGCTTCACCATGTTCCACAATATATAAATAATTCACAATTTTCGTATAAGCAGCTCCCATTTCCTAGACGCCAATTCAAAAAGACGCTCAAAGGCCTTGAAAAGTTGTATATCCATAAGAAGGTTTAAACAAACAGTTCACATCTCATGTTTCCTTTATCAGCTGTTGGGTTCAAAGTAAATAATTTATTATTGTGCTTTAACTCGAAAGCTGAACCCGGCTTATTTGTTTACTGTGATACGGTTTCCTTTCAAGTATGTAGGGACTGATATGGCGACTTTAATTTTCAAATATTAGCTTACTTTTTTTCGTATGTGATGTCAGGAATTGGGGGAAAACTAAGTCCAGTGTTAATTCGGGAATTTCTCTGTCCATCTATAACTTTTCACTTGTCGTTAAGTTTCAAGATTAATAATAAGCGACCGTAGATAATCAGTTGCTTGCCAGTCGTTCAAACTTCTCTAAGACAGCTTTGTGATCTTCATAACTTAGTGAATGTGTGTCCGCAGTTGTACGGTTTTAATTGTAGGCTAGAAACAGTAAAATTCACCGTCGAATGCTAGTTGAAGAATATAGTTTGGTTCTGTCGATCATTGTGTGACTGGTGTGACTCTGCGTTAAACTCAGAAGCTGCATACCACTTAATTTTTTCGATAATAATATTTTATTCACATAAGTTAAGTATTTACATGATTGACATACCGTTTGTACATGTATGATCATATTTGACAAGCGCAGTATTAGATTGTACACTGTTTTATCACATAAAAATTGAAGAATTCTAGAAACTACATAAGAAGTTTTTAATATTTACATTTAATGTAATAAGTTGTAGGACATTGGTTTAAGTGTAAATTTTAATCCTTAATATACGTATTGTCAGCAAACTTCGCGTTATTGGAAGGTAAGAAGAAAGATGATACACAGGTACTGGAGTAAGACACATAGGATGCTAGAACCAACAGTCTGGATCACTTGCAGTACATTTCTTACACTGCTTGTTCTGTCTGGGGGACTTTAATCGGTTAACCTACTTGTCTTCCAATATCCTAAACCCGGTGTCGTTTTCACAAACTAATGTATAGCAAATTTATCCCTTCGCGTTCGCTTTCTCGTTGTAAGATAAAGACGTAGGGCCTCCACAACGTGTTATTTTATGGCCACTCAGATGTAAGTGACTAAGGAACTCAGAAGGGTTGAACAAGGAACCAAGTAGGAACTATATCTTATTTGTGATTTATAAGGCTTTTCCTGTTTACTGAATGATGAATGCCTTCCCGTTTGTTTGAATAGGTATTCCCCGCTTCATTCGTCCTTTGCCGTGCTTTCGGAAATTAGGTTTTATTAGCACCATTGGCCTTCTACAATATTAGTGGGTCGGTAATTTGAGTAACCTCTTCGGTAAAAGAAATCGGTTTCTGAAAAGATTCTTGGTCTTCAAAAGCTTCTGAATTGCGTATCGCCTCACTCAACTGTCGTGGTTTTGGTTTTCTGTATAGGGAGTTTTGCTGGGACTCGGCGTATGTGTTTTGTGGTATACGGTGTGTTAAGCATGTGTCGCTTTTGTGAATAGAAATGATCCTTTCACCGGTTGGTTGGCCTCGGTGGTCGAAAAGAGAGGACAATAATAGTAGATATAATCAGTGAAGATTACGTAGACTTTGAAGGAAAAATGGATAAATAGGTAGACGATAAAATTCAAAACCTAAAAGTACATAACTTAAGTAATGAAGCAAGTGGATTAGTAGATAGCGTATTCAGACGAGTAAGACTAGGGAGAATGGGAGGCAATATAGGACCCATCCATTGTATTTCTGCCTCCTGCCTCACCACATTCTGACTCATGATCCAGTCCACCACAATTGCGAATATCACCGGTGATAGCGTCCATATTATCAATGCAAATTGAAGAGATACTCATTTTCATAACGGATACACTGAAACCCCGTTTCAAGCACCGTCATCAGACTGTGACTGAAAAGAATGTTTATAATCACCTCACTAAACCTAATGTCAAGACATCGCAAGTCACCAAAATCAATAAACACACAGCGAATATGGTGGAAATCATAGCCTTCCTCCTCTCTAATCTCACAAAAGTGGTTCTGCAGCACATGGCACCAACCAAAAGACTAGTGAATTATATTCTCACTCCTAAATTAGCCCATCCACGGTCTACGTGGATCCAGATATGTCTCTGGATATCCATAAGACAGAAATCAATGCCTCTTCTAGCCACAGCATGAGAGTTCAAATGGAATTCGGTAACAAAACATGCCGAAATACACCAGTCGTAACGAAAAATCCCCTACATTCTCAAACTCTTAAGAATAATCCACGCTTCGAGGTAAATAATATACAGAACTATGCTAACAACCACATTAAAAGCATAAATAGAGCCATACGGTCCACGTACAATGACGACAGAACTTGCTCGCATACTATACCGAGTCACACTAATATATGGTGTAGTGACACCATCACGCAGAATGGTACAAGTGGCAACACTCAGAGCTCAGCTCCCAACCACTCCGGTTTTTCAAAGTATGACACGCAAACAGACTTTGACAGAGTATACGGCACAAGTCTGGTGGGAATCAAACCACAGAGCAGCAATGCATATGACGAAACCCATATAACATCACTTAGAGTATCTCCAAACAATAGGTAGATTAGTAAGTCATGGGTATCACAAGGTACCAATTATCTTTTATTCGCTGCATCGGTGTCAGCGCTAACCAAACAAATGGTGATGTTAACTCTTCTGAACCAGAACCACTAATGTCGGCTCCCTATCGAGAAGGAAACAGACACATTCTAGTGCACACGCAATTAGTAATCACATCCAATGCTTGTACAAATATAGGACAAATAAAAACTCCCACCCGACTTTCTGAACAACCCAAGCCCTGTAGTGAATCCAATAATAAAAGTCACCATTCCCTAAAAGAAATAGATAGTAACTCGACAGACAGGTGAACATGGTACTCACACTAATTGTAACACAGAGTTGTCATGCCATGCGGAACCAGTGTGTGCCGATCCAAACTTGAGTGTGACTGGCGAGCTTAAATGCCTCAAACACTATTCCAACTCTCAGCTTTACTTAATCCTTATTAGTGATAGATCTGGCCTAAAAATACCATACGCTGTTATATAAACCCCCAGTAATCATTATTTCTGAATCTTGGTGTCACTCCAATGTACCAGACGAAGAGATAAGCATCGATGGGTACACATACTTTCGCTGTGACAGGAAGAGTGGAAAGGGAGGAGGCTGCCCAGTGTACTTCCTGAACACGCTTACTGCACTGCAGCTAGAAAATAAGGAACTCAATGACATGCACGACACCCTATGGGTCAATATACACTTCGAAAGTGCTACACTGATAATAGGATGTAACTACAGAGCACCTGGCGCCTTTAGTGACTGCGAGACAAATTATAAATTCACTAGAGCAAGTATCCACTCTCCCACACGAGCATAAGATCATATGTGGAGACCTCAACCTACCCAAAACCAACGGGGATTTTTTAACAGGCCCAGCTACGTATGACAAGCTCTTAGGTACACTGGATATTTTCGGCTGGTAACAAACTGTCACTATCCTTACAAGATGTGACAACGTACTGAACTTAATATTCTGTCACGATATAAGTCCACTCTCAATTTTAGTGGCTTCTAAGTTTTCAGGTAGTGCCCACAAAACAGTGATGTGTGCACTGCAACTTCCTCCAAGAGACAATGCAGCTTACACTTCAACTTCACAACGAATAATATATAGGAACTGTAGTAAGGCGAACTGGTCTTTCGTAGAATCAATGCTAAGATCCTGCGAATGGGGCGAATACTTCAGTAATGATGACCTCTCAGAGCTCTGAGCATATTCTCCAGACCTCAAACACAAGGTTAGATGTTGCCATTCCACTGCAAAGGCCAAAAGTTTCCGCACAAAGAAAATCATTAATAAAACCAAAGGATCGTACGAAGCTGAAGAAACTCCAAATGTTACTTGAAACACCACGACAAGGTCATTTATGGAGTAAGACGCTCAAAGGTCATTTTCGTCCATGTTAGTCGGCCATGTTGGATTGCAATTCCGTAGCTGTTCGTTTACACATTGGTTTTTCGTTTATCCAGCAGTTATTCACAACTTATCTTGACGCACATTGTTTACAAATGTTGCGTTTTACTTCACTACTGTTTCCGTTTCTGTTAAAATTAGTTATTTCGTTTGTTTCGGAAGTTTTTACCACCAGGTCAGTGCATTTATTTCATTGTAATTGTTTCATACGTTGCATTCATACATGGCTGGCACAATATTTCTGGAAAAACATTCAATAAATATGTGAGAGGATAACACAGGATATCTGCACATTTTTTTAAGAATAAGGCTAGGCAAACAATCTGGAACTAGGCTACAAGAAGGGTTCAACGACTGGAGATATTTTAGAACGTCATTTGTATTGAAACCAAGGAAGCAACTCTTATTAACACTTGTGACACCAGAAACCTTGGCATTTGTGGGAAAATGTATGAATGCCTTGTTTACCGTACACACATCAAATGAATAGGAAATACTGTTGTAACACTGGAGGTAATTAGATGCATAAAGGCGTGAGTTATTTAATATTCATAAAGTAGATATGCAAACACCGCGGTTACTGATCATAGAAATGATGGATATTAGGTAACATCACATGATTCAATGGCATATTAGAAATAGATGAAAATTGTTTCTTTGCTCATTGTCAAGTGAACAGTCTATTTGACGATGTCACTGCATATTAACAGATTAGTGAAGTAGCTATCAAGCCTAAGTTATTACATTTACTTGTACTTCACACTTGGCGTTTAACAGTATACAGACTTGCAACTGGCTGGATAAGGCGATTTTAGCGTATCGAACTGTACAGAATTATTATTCAACTTGCTAAATCCTACTTAGTTTTACAATGTGCTACTGTATAGAAACAGACACGAAATCTTACGAAGGGCTAAAGTAACATTCTCATAATACCATAGCAAATCTCCATCCCACTAACTAAGCTTAACATGCATTGATCAGAATTCACTTATTACAAAAGCAAATAGTATAGCGATGCA